GTGATGTACTCCTTGAGCTTGCGCCGCAGGCTCGAGCTGAACTGGTGCTTCGACATGAACTCGGTGAGCGAGTCGCGCGTCTGCTTGAACTTGTTCCCGACGGGGTCGAGGTTCGTCATCGTGTTCGTGAGCTCGCCGAGGAGGAAGCCGAGCAGGATGAAGCCGAAGAGCATGACGAGGATGCCGAGGACGCCCTCGCTGTGGAGGCGGTACGTCGCCTCGCCGTTGAGCGCCATGTTGGCCCAGACCGCGGCCTCGATGTACGTCGCCCACGCGCCGTCGCCCCAGTTGTAGCCCTCCGTGAGCACCGTGTTCGGGCAGCCGCCCGACGTCCCGTCGCCGCCGTCGCCCGCGCCGCCGCGGCTGTGGGGGCCCGAGCCCGCGTCGCAGGCGACGAGCGTGAGCAGGCGGAGCGAGCACGCGGACCAGTGCACCGTGAAGAGGAGCATGACGACGTACTTGGCCGTCGCCTGGAGCTTCGACGAGAAGTCCCAGTGCATGGAGATGGCCTGGATGACGCGCGGCGACTTGAGCACCTTGAGCAGCTTGAAGAACCGGAGCACGCGGACGAGGCGCGCGTACTTGAAGGCCTTGAACACGGTGACGCAGTCCACGGGCAGCACGCTCGCCGCGTCGAAGAAGAACCAGGTCCGCGCGTAGCGCCACGCGATGACGCGCCGGTCGAGGACCCACGCGCGGTTGTTCGCGTCGAAGTAGGACCTGCGCGCGCGTCGAATCTTCAAATCACTCCTTCCGACGCGCGCGGAGTCGAATGGGTTGGCGCGAGCTCTCCTGCCGTGCTTCGAGGACTCGACGAGAGCCATCGATCCGTCCACACATCAGCCGAATCGCCTTCGACGTGACCGAGCTCGAGCGTTTCAAAGTTTCGTCGGGACGTCCCGGACCGGCGGTCGATTCGCGCGCGGAGTCCGACGTGTTGAGGATGAGGAGCATGTCGGCCGCGAAGGCGAGGTTCACCGTCGTGTTCGCGACGAAGAGGTTGCTCTTGAAGGAGCAGCTCTGGTCGTTGACGAACGTGAGCTCGAAGGGCGTCACGATCATGACCTGCGCGGCGCGGCGCGGTCCGCGCCGCGGCGCGCGGCCGCGCGCGGCGCGGGGCGCGCGCGTAGGACGTGCACGCGAGCATGAAGGCGTCCCAGACCATCTTGTGCACCGTGTGGGGGCTGATGACGCCGTTGTTCTCCGAGGGGAAGTGCGTGTGCTTCTCCGTCATGAGCTGCTGGCGCCGGCTCAGGTGCTCCGCGCCTGCGCGGGCGCCCGGCGGTCGCGCGCCGCGGCGCGGGCGCCTCGGCCGCGCGTCGAGCACTCGAGAGGAGCCATCGACGCGTCCGAACGCGACCCGCGTCGACGTCGTCGACGCGGCCGAGCCGGAGACGTCCGAGGCGTCGCCCCGGCTCGCGGGTTCCGCGCGGCGCCGCGCCGCCGTGGGGCGTCTCCTTGGGCGCGAGGTGGGGCTTGAGGAGGAGCGTGATCGACGACACGCGCCGCTTCGACTTGGCCTGCTCGTGGGTCGCGCGGATCGCGGCGAGCGCGCCGCCGGCCTTGCGGCCCTTGGCGAGCGCCGCCGCCTGCGCGTCGCCGAGCGACGGCAGCTCCGTCGCCGAGGACCGCGCGTCGACCTGCGGGGGCCGCGGGCGTCGCGGGGCGGCGCCGGCGCGCGCGGGGCCGGGCGCGCGCGGGGGGCCGGCGGCGCGCGGCGCGGGCGCGCGCGAGGCGGTACGTGAGCTTCTTGCCGAGGTCGTACTCGAGCTCCTCGATGGCGTCGACGGACTTGCGCGGCGCCCGCGCGGCCTCGGCGACCTTGGCCGCGACCTCCGTCGTCGCGCTCGCGACGGCCGTGAGCACCGAGCCGCGCCGCGCGGCCTCGAGCGCGGACGCGCGCCGCGCGCCGCCGCCGGCGAGCGCGCTCGGCCGCCGCCGCGCGGCGGCGGCGCCGAGGGAGTCGCGCGGCGCGCGGACGACGGACGACGCCGTGAAGGACGGCCGCTCGCCCGGCGCCGGCGCGCCGCCCGCGCGCCGGGGCCCGGCGTCGCCGCCGCCGCCGAAGACGCTGAGCCGGCGCCGCGAGCCGCCGGGCGTGCGCGGGGGGTCGTCCGCCGGCGCGTCGCGCGCCGCGCGGAGCGAGCCCCGCGCCGGCGCCGCCGGCTCGGCCTCGCGGCGGAGCGACGCCCGGGGCGCGCCGTCGCCGCCGCCGCCGCCGAGGGGCCCGAGGCTCCGCCGGAGCGACCCGCCGCTGGGCCGCGCGCCGGGGCTGCCGCCGGCGCCCAGCGGCGGGAGCTGGGCGAGGGCGCTGCCGCCGCCCTCGCCGCCGAACATGTCGTTGACGAGGGGCATGAAGGCGTCGCCCTCCTCGCCGGCGCAGGAGCCCCGCCGGCTCGCGGGCGCCTCCGGCTCCTTGGACTCGACGACGGTGACGACGCCGCCGGTCCCGCCGCCGTTCTCGTCCTCGACGACGAGGTCCGACGCCCAGGTCGGCGACACGGACATGGTCGCGGGGACGGCCGGCGCCACGACAGGTCAGGGCCGGGCCGCCGCGTCCATGTCCATATTAGAGGCAGTTTCTTTGGATACGAGGCCTCGTTGACGTTCAGCCTTGTCGACGGTCGCCGCCGCGCGCGGTGTCGGCCGGTCGGGTCGTCGCGCAGTCGCGGCATGTGTTACGCGCCCGCCGCCTCGGGCAGATCCCAGCGCGTCTCCCCCGTCGCCGTGTTCAGGAAGTATGTGTTACGCGCCCGCCGCCTCGGGCAGATCCCAGCGCGTCTCCCCCGTCGCCGTGTTCAGGAAGTAGGTCTGCTGGTGGTAGTCGTCGAACGCCTCGCGCCACTCCGCCGCCGGGCCCTTCGCCTCAGCGACGTGGTCCCAGCGGGGCGTCTCCCAATGTGAGAGGTTTTTGTCCTTGTTGTGGTAGTAGACGTGGCCCGTGTCCTGACACCGCTCGCGGCTGAACGCCGGCGGCGCGCCGGCGCCCGCGCCGTCGTCGGCCCAGCGCGAGGAGCCCGTGGCCCGGTCCACGACGTAGTGGCCGCCCGTCTCCGGACACTCGTATTCGCGGAACCGGTTCGCGGCCACGCAGCCGTCGCCCTCGAAGCGCGTTCGCCGCCGCTCGGCCTTAGCCCAGGCCTCGAGCGCGACGGCCTTGGGGAGCGGCTTGGGCGCCGCGGCGGCGAAGCGCGCGTCGAAGGAGAGCTGCCAGCGCCCCTCGGGCACGAGCGCCTTGGCCTCGTCCACGGTGACGCCGCGGTCGGGGACGGAGACGGACGCGCCCATGCCAACCGACCGAGGGGCTCCCACGATGCCCGTTGGAGATGAAGTAACTTACGGTGTGGGAGCCAAGCCCCCCGGGTATGCCTCTGGCTGGCGGCATTCTTCGTCTTCTGCGTCAGCTCGCTGGTCTTTGGCCGCAGCTCTTCGGCATCTCGCCCGCTGGCCGGCGGTCGTCCTCTTCTGTCGGTGCCCTCGGCTAGCCATTCGTGGTCCTGAGGTTGAATCGGTCTGGTCCAGCCGGAGTTTCTGCTCGTTTGCGTGCGGGTGCCCTCGTCCTCGTCCTCCCCCGTCCCTGGGCGAGTACGGTGGGTGGTGGTCCTCGAGCCCACTCAGACGCTACCGCCCGGCGCCTACTCGCTCTGAGAACTGCCTGCGGCCTACCTCCCCCCCCCCTTCCCCCGGCCAAAGGGCGCTCGTCGAGTGCGCATCCCCTTCAATAACTAGTCCAACTTAGTTCGCACTTGTTCAAGTTGCAGTCCGTCCTCTTTGTGATGGCTGATGCCTTCGTCGAGGCCTGGGCCGCGTCGGCCTCCGACAAGGCGCGCATCGAGGCCTTCGCGGGTTGGCTCAAGGCGCGGCGGCCCCTCGACGCCGGCGCGCGCCACGCGGCGTTCCGCCTGCGCGCGGCGCTCGCGACGCTCGACGAGGAGGCGCGGGCCTGCGAGCGGCCCGGGCGGCCCGCGCGCGCGGCCGGGTCGCCGCCGCCGCCGCCGCCGCGGTCGCCGCCGCGGTCGGGCTCGGCGTCGGCGCTCTGCCGGTCCGCGTACAGCGCGCACGAGGGCTCCGACGACATCTGGCTCTTCGGCTACGGGTCCATCCTCTGGCGCCAGGGCTTCGAGTTCGAGCGGGCGCTCGTGGGCCACGTGAGGGGCTACGCGCGGCGCTTCCACCTCGGCGACACCGCGCACCGCGGCGTGCCCGGCGCGCCCGGCCGCGCCGTGACGCTCGAGGCCGGCGCGCCCGGCGACGTCTGCTGGGGCTGCGCGTTCCTCCTGCCCGCGGCGTCGGCGGCGCGCATCGTCGAGGGCATGGACGTGCGCGAGGCGGCCTACGAGAAGCGGTCGCTCGACCTCTACGGCCGCGTCGGCGCCGCGCCCGTCGTCCGCGACGTCATCGCCTACGTCGTCGCCGACTGCCCGGCGAAGCGCGCGGCCGCGGGCTACCTCGGCCCCGCGCCCGTCGCGGCCATCGCCGCGACGATCGCGGCGTCCGCGGGGCCCTCGGGGCCGAACGCCGACTACCTCAAGAACCTCGACGCGTGGCTCCTGGACCACGGCGTCGAGGACGACCACGTGCGCTCTGTCGCGCGCGCCGTCCACGGGCTCGAGGCGGCGCGCGCCGCCGCGGACGGCGAGGCCCGCGTCGGCGACGACGGCGGCGGCGCCGCCGCGCCCGGCGTCCGGGGCCGCGTCGTCGTCGACGCCGGCGCCGCGGAGGTCGTCAGCAACTGCGCGCGGTCGCTCCTCGCCGTCGGCGTCGTCGACGTCGTCGGCGACTTCGCCGCGGGGGACGCCGTCGCCGTCGAGACCGCGCGCGGCGCCGTCGTCGCCCGGGGGGCGGCGTCCTACGCCGCCGCGGACCTCCGCCTCGTCCGCGGCTGCCGGAGCGCGCGCTGCGCGGCGCTGCTCCCCGCGCACCCCGGGGAGCCGGGCGTCGTCGTCGCCAAGGGCCGCATGACCCTGGCCTAAGCGACCCCCCCGAGCGGCGCTCGAGCGCTAGAGCGCGAGCGCGGCCGCGTCCTCGAGCTCGGCGGCGACGACGCACGCGTCCGTCGCGTAGGCCGGGAGCCCCGCCGCGGACGCGCACGGCTGCGCGGTCGCGAAGTGGCCCCCGCCCGGGCACCGCCGGCAGCAGGCCGGCGCGGCGAAGTGGCGCGCGGCCCGCTTCTTCGCGAGGTGGGGCCCCAGGAGCGCCGCGCAGTGGCCGAAGCGCGCCGCGGGGCCCGCGGCGGCGGCGGCGGCGAAGCCCGCCCACCAGGCGAAGTCGCAGTGCTGGCGCTCCGCGACGTCGGCGCTCGCGGCCTCGGCGTGGGCGGCCCAGGGCTTGGGGCCCGGCGCGTTGTAGTGGACGAGGGGCAGCGCCGCGTAGGTCAGCGACGCGTAGGAGCCGAGCGTGAGGCCGTAGTAGTACCACATGAGGCCCTGGCCTGGGCAGCAAAAGGGTGCGAAATTCCCAACTTCAAAGGCTCCTCTCTCGGCCGTTTTCCGCTCGTTTCGGCTGATTTTTGGACGAGCGATCATCTCTCGGGACGGTCTCGAAGCGTGGACGCTTTTTCCGGAACGCGCGCGCGCGGAAAACTCACGTTGAAGCGACGTTGAATCACCCTTGTCCTGCCCTGGCCCTGGCCCGTGCCCGCGCCCGCGAGGTCCCACGTCCGCGACGCGCGGCCCGTGACCTTGGCGCAGGACCGGGGCACCGGCGGCGGCGCGCCCGGCGGGTCGAAGGCGCCGCCGTCCCAGAGGCGCCGCAGCGCGCCGCCCGCGTCGCCGACGCCGTCGAAGCCGGCGGACGCGAACGGCTCGCGCGAGCTCCGGCCTGGGCAGCAAAAGGGTGATTCAACGTCGCTTCAACATGAGTGTTCCGCGCGCGCGCGTTCCGGAAAAAGCATTCACGCTTCGAGACCGTTCCGAGAGATGATCGCTCGTCCAAAAATCAGCCGAAACGAGTGGAAAACGGCCGAGATATGAGCCTTTGAAGTTGGGAATTTCGCACCCTTTTGCTGCCCTGGCTCCGGCAGGGGCACCGATTGCGCACGACGACGTCGTTGAGCGCCGCGAGGTGCGCGCGCCCGGCGGCGCCGTCGCGGCCCGGGCGGACGACGAAGACGCCGCTGTTCACGGGCGCGGTGCACGTCCGGTAGCCGACCTGCGCGGAACTCGCGTCGTCGCCCCGACGTTGACGCGCGCGCGCGTTCGAACGGTTCGACGCGCGTGCTTCGGCCCCGCTTCGAGAACTCGACGAGAGCGATCGATTCGTCCCAACATCGGCCGAATCGACGTCGATGTGGCCGAGCTCGAGCATGTCAAAGTGTGGTCGGGACGTCCCGAACCGGCGGTCGACGTCCGCGCGGTCGCCGACGAGCGCGGCGCCGCGGCTCAGCGCGAGGAGCGGCGCGAGGGGCGCCGTGACGACGACGTCGAGGTCGAGGAAGAGCACCGCGTCGTAGCCCTCGAGGCGGTAGGCCGCGAGCTTCATGTAGTTGAGGTTCCGCCGGAGGAACGGGTACGCGCCGTCGAGGAGCCACGGCACGAGGTCGCGGACGGACGCGCGGTCGAGCGCGTCGCCGACGAGCGCCGCGAGCCGCGCGACGAGGGCGCCGTGGGCCGCGCGCCAGCCGGGCGGCGCGGACCGCCACGTCGCCGGGTCGTGGGGCGCGCCGGCGCCGAGCGGGCCCGCGAGAAGCACCGCGTCGCCGCCGAAGCCGCCCGCGCCGCGCGCGGACGCGAAGAGCGCGAGCGCGGCGCAGGCGGACTGCTGCACGAAGCCCTCGTCCGCGGCCTTGTGGCCCGAGACGACGAGCGCCGCCAGGGCCACGCGCTCGCGGCGCGTCGCGTTCGGCGACGCCGCCGGCGACGCCGCGGCCAGCGACGCCGCGGCCAGCGACGCCGCGACGACGACGCGCCACATGGGTCACCGACGGGGCGACTAGGCGCGCGCCGTCCGGGCTGCGCCCGGCGCCGTCGGGGCTGCGCCCGCGCCGCGTGTCCGCCGGGCGCCCATAATTATTAAAGAGATGGTGCCGTACAATATTAAACAGTTGAAGCTCTCGAGCCCTCGCGCGCCATGGCCCTGCCTCGACGCGACGGAGGCCATGCCTCGACGGAGGCCTCCGCCGTGCAGGCCGCGGACCCGTGCCTCGACGCGACGGCCCTCGTGGACGGCGCGCCGGCCGTGCTGTCGTCGGCGGCGTGGCACGCGCTGCTGCACGGCGGGCGCGACGCCTTCTCGAGCGTCGAGGAGGCCGAGGCGCTCGCCGGCGCGGCGCCGCTGGCCTGGGACGCGCTGCTCGACGCGCTGGCGCTCGTCGCGTCGGCGTGCCGCCGGTGCGCGGCCTGCGCCGACGACCTCTTCGGCGCCGGCGGCGCGCCGCTCGCCGCGGCCGTCGCGGCCGCGGCCGCGCCGCTCGACGCGTGCCGGCGCCGCGCGGCCGCGCTCCGGGAGGTCGTCGAGCGCTACGGCGCGGCGGCGGCCGGCCGCGGCGGCGACGCCGCGCTGCGGGACGCGGACGACAGATGCGCGGCGCTGCTGCGGGACCTCGCGCGCGACTGCGAGGCGCTCGGCGAGGGCGAGGCGCTCGTCGCGCCCGCCGGCTGGGCGTCCGCGGACGGCCGCGGCCACGCCGTGCTCCTCGTCGTCGCGCGCGGCGGCGGGGCCCTCGGCGGCGACGGCTGGGGCGGCGGCGGGCCCGGCGCGTGCTCCGTCGCCGTCGTCAACGGCGGCGCCGACCAGGGCAGCAAAAGAGAGCGAAATTCCCAACTTCAAAGGCTCCTTTCTCGGCCGTTTTCCGCTCGTTTCGGCTGATTTTTGGACGAGCGATCATCT